ACCTGGCTGAGGCCATTTCCATGTTTATGATAGATCAAAGATTGATTTAAACACCAACGTAATAAACCACACTCGTCCTCATGTACAGGAATCTGCGTGGGACTGTTATGAAGCTTGTGAAACGCACCCTGTGACGTAATTCCGATGAAATTTATTTACACTTCCAATTATCAGTTACGTTTACAAGACACATCACTCGATACTGTCAACGAAATAGACATGTCAGATCCCGGAGTCCATCTACTGCGAAAATAACACACAGCCATCGACCTTCTTAGTGAGATTTTCGGTCGCTAAGTGATAATTTCCCAGACTGCATCGAGACTATTTGATTAGAAGGGCCGATCAAAGACGCCTAGAAGATCATCAGCGAAGTTTCGGTTGAGCATTCCCTGAAGATATTACCAATAATCAGCCACACCATGCTGGTATGGGTAAACATTCATATATTTCATATCAGTTAATCAAGAAACGGATTAATCGATTGATTACAGGATTTGAGGCGGACGAACAGGGCCTTGAAATCCTGGTTGTTTGTGCCGCGTTCAACTGATGATGACAGGCCTATCGTTAGGGTGTGTTAGTGGTTAGCAAGCTGATGGAAAAGGTTGGAGTCGATTCTCGGGGGATCGATGCTTATTTTACTTGATTTGTTAGTGAAATAAAGGATGATTTGGTTAAGCAGCATCTGAATCTGTATTCACTCCTTGATTTGCCATTAATAATGGTTTGCTTTGTTTGTTAGTTTGTTGTTTGACGCCGCACTCAGCAATATTCCAGCTTTATGACGGCGGTCTGTAAATAATCGAGTCTGGATCAGATGGTCCGGTGATTGATGTAATGAGCATCGATCTACGCAGTTGGGATACGATGACATGCATCAACCATGTCAGCGTGCCCGACATCCCGATCCCGTTAGTCTCTTCTTACGGCAAGCATGGGTTGCTGAAGACCTATTCTACCCCGGATGTTCACGGGTCAGCTAAAGGAGGATGGAAACCAGAGTAGGTGAAGGTGGATCGGGTAGCCTAGTGGTTAAAGCATTCGCTCGTCACGCCGAAGAGCCGGGTTTGATTCCCGACATGGGTACAATGTGTGAAGCCCATTTCTGATGTCCGCCGCCGTGATGTTGCTGGAATCATGCTAAAACCGGCGTAAAACAATACTCACTCACTCAGAAGTGGGAGTTATATGTCATGTGCAGAAACGAAATTCCATTGTGATGTATTTAGATCACGTGTTACTTCAAGTCTTCCAGCCTCTGGGTATCGCTCGATGGCTTCCGTTAAAACCAGGACAGACAGAAGAAGCAAGACCTCTCCGGTTGTCACTAACTTGATGCTAGACACCTCAAGATTTGCACAGGAAATGAAATGTCAACAGCACTAACAATTACGTTTTTGGCAGAATTTCTGCGCCTAAACTAAAAACATGTCTTTGTATGCATGGTCGCAAAGATAATGGGGAGTGTCGATAAAAATATTTACAGTGAGAATGACAAAATGACAGAGAAATCATGATTATTGATTGATTGATTGAATTTTTCCACATAAAGATGATGTTTTACATATCATGTGAAGCGCATTCAACATTGCGTGTTCGTAGCAAAGACTAAACGACTTGTGTGATATACTGCTTAAAAGAAGGTAAAAAATACCCAAGTTTTTAACATGGCTATAGTGAGTTTGTCATGGCTGGTGAGTATTGTTCCAAATGTGGTGATCCTTAACTCGTTTTGAGAAGTAGTAGTAGTAGTTGTAGTTGAAGAAGTAGAAGTAGTAGTAGTAGCAGTAGTAGTTGGTGTGGTAGTAGTTGTAGTAGTAGTTGGTGTGGTAGTAGTTGTAGTAGTAGTAGCAGTAGTAGAAGTAGTAGTAGTGGTAGCAGTAGTAGTTGTAGTAGTAGTTGGTGTGGTAGTAGTTGTAGTAGTAGTAGTAGCATTTGTAGTAGTAGTAGTAGTTGTAGTAGTAACAGCAGTAGTAGTAGTTGTAGTAGTAGTAGTAACAGCAATAATAGTAGAAGTAATGGTAGTAGTAGTGGTAGCAGTAGTAGCAGTAGTAGTAGTAGTAGTAGCAGTAATAGTAGTAGTAATGGTAGTAGTAGTGGTAGCAGTAGTAGCAGTAGTAGTAGCACTAATAGTGGTAGTAGTAGTAGTAGTAACAGCAGTAATAGTGGTAGTAGTAGTAGTAGTAGTGGTGGCAGTAGCAGTAGTAGTAATCGTAGTAGTAGAATTAGTAGTAGTTGTAGTAGTAGTAGTAGTAGTAATCGTAGTAGCAGCAGTAGTAGTAATCGTAGTAGTAGAATTAGTAGTAGTTGTAGTAGTAGTTGTAGTAGTAGTAGTAGTGTAGTAGAAGTTGTAGTAGTAGTAGTAGTTGTAGTAGTAGTAGTAGTAGTTGTAGTAGTAGTAGTAGTGGTAGTAGTTGTAGTAGTAGTAGTAGTAGTAGTAGTGTAGTAGAAGTTGTAGTAGTAGTAGTAGTTGTAGTGGTAGTAGTAGTAGTTGTAGTAGTAGTAGTAGTGGTAGTAGTAGTAGTAGTAGTAGTAGTAGTAGTAGTGTAGTAGAAGTTGTAGTAGTAG